TGCCTGCAACTAGTGATGATATTAGTGAATTTAAGGCCAGCAAAGGTTGGTTTGAGAGATTTAAGAATCGTAGTGGCATACATAGTGTGATAAGGCATGGTGAGGCTGCCAGTTCGGACCACAAAGCGGCTGAAAAATATGTGCAGGAATTCAAGGAGTACATAGACAGTGAAGGACTGAAACCTGAACAAGTGTTTAATTGTGACGAGACAGGCCTGTTTTGGAAGAAAATGCCAAACAGGACATACATTACTCAGGAGGTAAAGGCACTCCCAGGACATAAGCCTATGAAAGACATGCTTACTCTGTTGATGTGTGCCAATGCTAGTGGTGACTGCAAAGTGAAGCCTTTATTGGTGTATCACTCTGAAACTCCCAGAATGTTCAGGAAAATAATGTCCTCAAGGCTAATTTGTGTGTGCTGTGGAGGGCAAACAGTAAGGCATGGGTCACTAGGGACTTTTTCTATGACTGGTTACACCATGCATTTGCCCCCACTGTGAAAAATTACCTAATTGAAAAGAAATTAGACCTTAAGTGCCTCCTGATATTAGACAATGCTCCTGGTCATCCTTCAGATGTGGCAGAGCGACTTTCTGTGGAAATGAGCTTCATTAAGGTCAAGTTTTTGCCTCATAATACCACTCCTCTCCTGCAGCCCATGGACCAGCAGGTCATTTCCAACTTCAACAAACTGTACACAAAAGCTATGTTTGAAAGGTGCTTTGTAGTGACCTCAGAAACTCAGTTGACTCTAAGAGAGTTTTGGAGAGATCACTTTGGCATCCTCAGTTGTGTAAACATTATAGGTAAGGCTTGGGAGGAAGTGACTAAGAGGCCTTGAACTCTGGTTGGAAGAAACTGTGGCCAGAATGTGTAGACAAAAGGGATTTTGAAGGGTTTGAGGCTAACCCTGGGAATCCTATGCCAGTTGAGGAATCCATTGTGGCATTGGGGAAGTCCTTGGGGTTGGAGGTTAGTGGGGAGGATGTGGAAGAGTTGGTGGAGGAGGACAATGAAGAACTAACCACTGATGAGCTGCTAGATCATCTTCAACAGCAAGAGGCCACACCTGAGGAAACTGCTTCGGAGGAGGGGATAGAGAAATTGAGGAAGTTGCCTACTTCAAAGATTAAGGAAATGTGTGCAATGTGGCTTAAAGTGCAAACCTTTTTTGATGAAAATCACCCTCACACAGCTATTGCAACCCATGTTGGCAACCTGTACACTGACAATGTTGTGAAACACTTTAGGAATGTCATAAAGTAACGGGAGGTACAGGCCTCTATGGACAGATATGTTGTTCGACAGAGGTCCAGTAACTCTCAAGCTGGTCCTAGTGGCATTAAAAGAAGAAGGGAGGTAACCCTGGAAAAGGACTTGCCACCTCAAGTCCTAATGGAAGAGGATTCCCCTTCTAAACACTAACACCAACACACTCCCCTCCTCCCATCCTATCAGTCATCACCAGATCTTCAATAAAGGTAAGTATCATGTAACTGTGCATGTCTTCTTCAGTTTGTGTGTATTAAAATTAATATTTCATGTGGTAAAATTTTTTTTTGTTCATACTTTGGGGTGTCAGGAATGGATTAATTTGATTTCCATTATTTCTTATGGGGAAAATTAATTCGCCTAACGATAGTTTCGCCTAACGTTGAGCTCTCAGGAACGGATTAATAGCGTTAGGCGAGGGTCCACTGTATAATAATATGTAAAATAATAATACATGTATAATAATGTACTATATAATAATTATAATAATAGATGGCTTCAAAAGGCTGTTACAAGATGGCAGTGATTACCACAACAAAGCGGGAGCAGTTGTGGCCGCCTCAACCTGTCACATAATGACATTTTTTATTCATTCTAGAGTATATATCAGGTTTCTATGTTGTTTATATTGTTTATTATGTCATATTAGATGAATTGTGATAGATTAATAAGCTGTATAGATAATATTAGTGAAACATTGAAGTATCTTGTTGTACCTCCTGAGAGCTGGAACGGATTAATTGTATTTCAATTAATTTAAATGAGGAAAATTGACTCTGCAAACGAGTAAAGCAAGGTCATGAAATGAATTAAACTCGTAAGCAGAGGTTCTACTGTATATTAGAAACTAAACACTGCTATCATAGGTCTGCTCTTTAAACTACAAATAGGTGATTACAGACTGGGTCAGGAGCCAAGTCTCAACCCTTGCAAGCACAACATGGTAAGTACACTCTTAACTGCTGCCTCTCATTGACCAGTTTTTTTTATTCTTCACATCTCTGGGCACCTCTGCAAAGACAGTGATCATGTGTGAGTGAGGTGACAGTGTTGAATGATGATGAAAGTATTTTCTTTTTGGGGATTTTCTTTCTTTTTGGGTCACCCTGCCTCGGTGCGAGACAGCCAACTTGTTGAAAAAAAAAAATCTCTGGACTTTACATTCAGTGCTTGCTCCATTATGTCTTTTAACACACATGCATGCACACAAGTGTGTGCCATTTTCTAAGTCCCTAGTAATTGTGGTACTTTAGGCCAGTGCAATAGTCTCAGTGTGATGCATGCTAAGACTGGACATACTAAGAACAGTATGGTAAATTATCATGCATTACTTAAAAATAAAGGTTAAAAGTACAGTATAGTAGAGTGCAGTAATTGTTCTTATCTTTTCTGGTAGATAGAATACAGTGTTGTCTAGTGATGACTCAGAATAACTTTTATTCTTAGTCAAAAGAGCTGTAATGCTGCAGTGGTAACATCATAAATGGTGCGGGAGATATACAGGTAGATGAGGCAGTAGAAGTAGATGGTGTGGGAGATGTAGATGGCTAAGAAGACACAGATGCACTACCAGCCTTGCCATAAACTTTTGTTTATCAGCCTATGGCGGTAACAGAAACACCAAAGTCAATCCTCACTCGCCCCAAATTCTATGCTTATATGGCTTGCTACCTTCTTAGCCACAGAGCAACCCTCAACAGAATAAATATTAACACCAGCAGCACAGTGTTTAACATACCATTAATGTACTACTATTTCAATCTTTGGATATTTTCATACATTTTCAAGGAAGAACAGCAGAATCTTTTAAACTAGCCTCTGCACTACATCATACCATATGCTGTAAGTTTATTTGCTTCTATGAACATCAGATACTGTTTTGCTACACCATACTTCTCATCCACCTGGGGCTTTGAGATGCCAGACTCCACCTTCATTACTAATTCAAGTTTTTGCTTAACACACTAGTTCACATGCTACTTTTTGGCACTAACACTTGTTTTAGAGGCTATAGCTAAAAACATTCTTAGGGTATTTTAATAGAACAACAATTAGCATAATAAATCCTGGGAAAAATTGAAGCCCAGATGATAGCAGTATATGAGTGCATGTGCAGACAATAACACATTGATGAAGACTGAGCTGCTTACCCAGGAACAATAAAAAGACAGGTCATGGATGAAGTGCGGTGTGGACAGACCTGTGATGGAGAAGACTGTCCACTTCATCAGTGGTACAGCTGGACATGGCAACAGTGTGGTTCAGCAGACTTGGTCTTCGTTGCTAATTTTACCAGGCACTCCGTGCAGCAAATTTATTGAGCTTTTGTCTGGCCAGATTTTTTTGTTCGTTTTAACTGATATCTGCTTTATAGGTCTTTTATACTAAGGGTTTACTGTATTGTTTAATGAAACCTCTCAGATTAACCTGGCTTATATCATGTAAACTGATGTAACACCCACCTTGAAGCATTGAATGTTTATTTTTATTATTTATGATTTATTTATTATATTCATAGGGAAGTGTTAAATCTACAGGTCAGACAGTGCCTAGGAAATGGTAGGTAATCAGGTTTAATCCAAGAAAGGAGAAGGTGCAGCTGTAATTCTATAGAGCAAGAGCCCTTCACAGGTGCAAGATGCCCCTTCCCCTTCTCGAAAAGCTGAATGTCCACAGCCATGTACACCAGAATGCCAATTATTTATTACTGTATCTCACTTGTGTAGTTCACAGTGCTTGCTGGTCAGTTTTAGTGGGGCTCAGAATTCAGGCATTTCACTCTTCTTACTATGCCTCATTGATCGTGGTTTAATGCTTGTTGTGTACTGTATATAATAACTCTGTGACCATCTCTGTTACTTCACTAGCTTTAGTAGAAATTAGGTTGGGAAGATGCATAAAAAAAAATGTATCAAATCAGGAACTTGGTGACTAAAATCAAGGAGTCTGTCAATAGAGGTATGCCAAGCTCACTTAAGTGCTTGCATAATAAAAACTAATCTTGAAATTAAAAATGAATTAAGGATAATTTTATTCTGTTGTATATTTAAGATTTTGAATTAATTAAATTTAATATTATTAATTATTAAAACTGTTGTGAATAGACTTAAAAATAGCTCTACACATTTATGGAAATTTAAATTCCCTGATTTCAGATATTGAGCATTCTTACTGAAGGGTCTTCCATGAATAATTTTTTGTATATGAGATACCTATTTCATTGTGACTTGGCACACAGCTCCTAAATTGAAAACCAACCATAGATTATAATTGATGTGTTCACTGGCTTCGCACACAACTAAACTGAAAAACCAACCATAGATTATAATTGATGTGCTCACTGGCTTTCACAGGCCCAGATCTCTCTCTCCAGTTGATATACATGTATCTATGAATGTCTATATTAATGATGCAAAGTACAGCCTCTGAAATAGCATGAGCGCAAACCTGAAAAAAAATTATTATACAGATAGCCTTTAGTTGCATTAGCAGTTTCTGAATTTGCTAGAACCTCTAAGGATGGCATAACCTCTACAAATGTTGTAAGGATGACTATACAGTATTTTGCTGGTTTGTTTACATAATTTTCATTCATTTATTTAATGGAAAATCCATATTGTCATCCCAAATGTCTTGAGAGTAGTGTTCTAACACGTGTACATAGTGTTATCCCCCACCAGTACATGTCATTGCACACCTGTACATGTTGTGTTATATAATTTCAGAGTGCACCCTTGATGAGTGGAGAGCGTACTTGGACAACAATGGTAGAGAGAAAGCTCTCTAATGTTTGTGTGTGATAATTAGTGACTGTTTAGCTCCAGTAGTTATCCTCACTTGTTCATCATTCACTAACATGAATTGCTCGTTTAAGAGGCGTTTTTAAGTGTTGGTTTGTCTAGATAATGGATATATTAATTTAGTTTTATGCTTGTAAAGTAGTAAAGTTTAACTGTTGTTGCAGAATGCTGAACTACTGTTGTAGTAAAGAAGTAAAATGAATTTTACCTAATTGAATAATGTGAAGACTGTTAACTCATAAACTGGGTACAATGTATTCATATTGCAGTATGAGAGAATTGAGCATGACTTGTATATAGTGTATTCATACGTTATAATGGGTTTTCAAACTAAGTGCCATATTAAGTAATTTATTTTACAGTATTGTAAACATCTTATCTGTTATGTTGCTAATTTATATCCAGCCAAAAAAAAAAAAATCTGTGTCCTTTGTTCCAAAACAGAGAATGTTTAACATTCTGACAGTCATGGTGTGATGATGGAATTTTGCAGTGACAGACCATTTTTTTTATTAACACACTGGCTTTTTCCCCACCAAGGCAGGTGACCCAAAAAGGAAGAAACACTTTTGCCATCACTCACTCCATCACTGTATTGCCAGAAGTGTGCTGACAATACGGTTAACAAAAACTGCAGCATATCTACACCCTTCAAAACACAGGCACTATACTTCCCACTTCCAGGACTCTGAGTCCAGCTAACTGGTTTCCCTGAATCCCTTCATAAATGTTGCTTTGCTCACAATCCAACAGCATGTCAAATCATAAAAACCATTTGCCTCTACTCTCTCTTATCTAACATGCTCATGCATGCCTGTTCATGCATGCCTACCACCTCCCTCCAACCCTTTCTAAGATGACCCCTCCCCAGCCTTCCTTCCACTGCAGTTTTATACACCCTCCAAGTCATTCTATTCTGTTTCATCTTCTCTAAATGTCCAAACCATCTCGACAGCCCCTCCTCACCCTTCAGGATAATACTTTTAGAAACCCCGCACTTCCTCCTAATTTCCAAGCTATGGATTCTCATAATATTCACACCACACATTGCCCTCAGACACAACATCTCCACTGCCTCCAACATTCTCCTTGTTGCAACATTCACCACCCATGCTACACACCCATATAAGAGCATTAGTGGCACTTTACTCTCATACATTCCCCTCTTTGCTTCCATGGATAACGTTCTCTGTCTCCACAGACTCCTCAGTGCACCACTTGCTTTTTTCCCTTCATCAATTCTGTGGTTAACCTCAGCTTTCACAGATCTATCCACTGAGAAGTCCACTGCCAGATATCTGAAAACATTCACTTCCCCCATACTCCCTCCTTCCAGTATCTTATTACCTAAATTTTTTATTATCCTCATCACCCTGCTCTTTCCTATGGTCGCTTTTAATTTCCTTCTTTTATATACCCTCCCAAATTCATCCACCAACCTCTGCCACTTCTCTTCAGAATCTCCCAATAGCACAGTGTCACAGCAAAAAGTAACTGTGACAGTTCCCACTATGTGTTAGATTCTTTATCTTTTAATCCCACACCTCTTCCCAAAACCTGAGCATTCTCTTCTCTTACAACCCCATTTGTAAATATATTGAACAAACGTGGTGACATTATGCATCCCTGTCTAGGCCTATTTTTACTGGAAAATAATCTCCCTCTTTCCTACATACCCTAACCTGAGCCTCACTATCCTCATAAAAACTCTTAACTGCTTTCAATAGCATGCCACCTATTCCATACACCTGCAGTATCTGCCACATTACTCCTCTATCCACCCTATCATCCATCCTATCATATGCCTTGTCTGAATTCATGAATGCAATGAAAACTTCCTCACCCTTATCTAAATACAGTTCACTTACATGCTTCAATGTAAACACTTGGTCTAAACATTCCCTAGCCTTTCTAAAGCCTCCTTGTTCATCTGTAATCCTGCTCTCTGTCTTACCCTTAACTATTTCAGCAATAACTCTACTGTACACTTTACCTGGTATGCTCAACAGGATTATTTGTCTCTAATTCTTACGCTCACTTTGTCCCCTTTTTCTTTACACAAAGGAACCATGCATGCACTCTGCCAATCCCTTGGTACCTTCCCCTCATTCATACATTTATTGAAGAAAAGCACTAACCACTCATAACTATATCCCCACCTGCTTTTAACATTTCTATCTTGATTCCATTAATCCCAGCTGCCTTATTCCTTTTCATTTTACTTACAGCCTCATGCACCTCCCTCACTCACATCTGGCTTTTCCTCACTGTTAACCTTTTCGGGTCAATCCCGTAGTTCTACTGTGTTGAAGCCCAGGTTGGTCCCGTAGTTCTACACCTTAAGCTCAGCTCACTCAGATAAGCTGTGAGCGGTAAATTTAGGCCTAGATATGAAAGAATGGGTCTATGTGGTGAGTGTGCACTATATAAAAGAATCCTGCAGCACGCATTGCATAATGGGGAAAAAAAACGTGACCATGTTTTTGGTTTAAAACGGCAACTTTGCGGTGTATTTTTGTAGTTTTTCTTGGTCTCATTTGATAGAATGGAAGATGTTACAGCAATAGAGATGATTTTGATTGGTTTCAGGACTGAAAATAGCTTGAAATTGAGCTCAAAGTACCGGAAATGTTCGAATTTTGCTGATATTCCAGCATACACAAATTACATCACTTGTCCAATACATGTCCAGCTGGTCAGTCTAATACACAATCATGAATGCACTGACATTATTTATACAGTTATTACAATAATGCAGTAGTCAGCATAGCAGTAAATAAATTTTATGTGCGACTAAAAATTCAAAATGGAAAGCAAGCGTGATATACGTGAAGCCTGGGGACATAACTAATGAACAGGGGAAATGTATTTTAGTGCCAGGAATGTCTACATTGTTTATTCTGGACCCTATTTTTAAAGTGGCAATTTTTTAATTTTGTGTGAAATTGGCCAAATTACTGATTTCTGATCCCTTTATTTGGTAGTAGAAATAAGTAAACGGGTGGTTTCTTGTACTCGGTCGATAAAATTGAAAGAATACTAGCAAAATAGCTATGAGTTTGGTCGACTGGTACAGTAGAATTGGTTGAAAATAGGGCTCAAAGTGAGCAAAATTAACGATGCATAAATATCGCCAAGACTACTAACTTTGTAAGACTGTAATTCTACAAGTTTTCCATCAGATTTCATACTTTTGGTTTCATTACCTTTTGGAAAAAGTTTTATCATTTTTTTTTCACCCTGAGAACAAGTTTCAGATCAGGGATCTCGACACTGAAAGGGTTAAAAAATGTTATACCTCCATGACCAGTGCATGAAATCACTGCCTTCCTCTCTCTAACAGTATTTAACAGCTCAAAATATTCCCTCCATTTTCCCAATATCTCCAACTCCCTATCTAATAACCTCCCTCTTCTGTTTTTAGCTGTTAAATCCATTCATACCCTAGACTTTCTTATTAATCTCACTCCAAAGCTTTTCTTTCTGTTTCCCAAGTATGTATCGTGTCCTGTCTTCTTGCCCATTCCTCATTCTAGATAATCTTGCATGTGTCGGGGTTGAATTCATGCACCACTGATCAGACCAATCTTGAAGTTTGTTCAGATCCATTTGAAGCCTTTCCCTTTTCCCCTGTTTTTATTCTCATTAGTTTTACATCAGCAGATACATCAGATTCATTCTCGTCTGCAATTTTCTTCACATTAATTACAAACAGTATTGCCCCTAATAATGAGCCTTTGTACAACCCATTGTGGACTTTTTTTTATGCGTGCATGTTTACTTATGTACCTGCTCTTAAAACACTGTATGGAGCCTGCCTCCACCACTTCCTTACTAAGATCATTCTACTTCTCGAGCATTCTGAGACTGAAGAAATGCATCCTTGTGGCTCATCTGTGCTTTTAACTTCCAATGGTGTCCCTGAGTTCCTATTTGTCACCTCTCAAACAGACTATCCCTGTCTACCTTATCAGTTTCTCTGAGTATTTTGTATGTTACCATCACGTGCTCCCTGGTTTTTCTGTCCCACAACATCGTGAGGTCTAATTCCATTAATAGCCTCTCCTCATAGCTCATGTACCTTAGCTTGGGAACAAGCCTTGTTGCATACTTCTGCACTTTCTCCAGTTTCTTGATGTGCTTTCTTATGCACATGTTCCATTCTGGTGTTCCATACTCCAAGATGGCCTAACATATTTGTATAAAGGGCCAGGAATGACACCTTCAGACTACTGTTAGATTTGCCAGACAAACATTGGCTGCAGGGGTTATTCGGTTGATGCGAGTCTCTGTGCACTATGCTTACCCCCTAGGTCTTTTTCTTTGAAGTCTGTGACCTGTGTTTCCCATGTTTATACCCTATTTCTGGTCTTCTGCTCCTTCCCCAGTCTTCATGACCTTGCATTTACTGGGGGTTGAATTCAAGCATCCACTTATCTGACCACTCCTGCAAGTTGTCCAGATCCCTTTGGAGCCTTTCTTTGTCCTCATCTGTTTTTATTTTCCTCCTTTGTGTTACATATCAGCAATTAGGGATGTCTTGAATCATTTCCATCTAGAATGTAATTTTCATAAACCAGAACAGTACTGGTCTAATTAATACTGAGACTTGTAGAACTCTGCTAATTGGTCTTTCCCATTTTGACATCTCTCTTTCTGGCAGTTACTTTTCTTCCTTCCCCTAAAATACTCTCTGATCCACTGGAGTACATTTCCTGTTATTCCCACCCAGCCTCTTGTGGGGTACTGTGTCAAATGTCTTCTTGCAGTCTAAACAAGAAGGGCTGTCCACCCAACCCTTGTTGTCTTGTGGCACATCTGTAACTTTGTCATAGAACTCCAACAAGTTAGTAAGACTAGATTTGCCATTCCTAAACCTGTACTGATTATTGCTTATGAAAACTACTGCTCTCCAAGTGTTCTACCACTCTCCTCCATGCATGTATATGTTTCTCCATTACCTTGCAAAGTATGCATATCAGAAAAACTGGTCTATAGTTGAACACCACCTGTCTGTTTCATTAAGTATAGAGACTACATTTGCTGTCTTCCAGATTTCTGGTAACTGTCCTGTATCCATTGATTTACTGTATATCATAGCTCAAGGTTTAGACTTTTGTTTCTGCTCTCTTTGATGGAATCCACAGTGACATGTGTGCTGTGTTTACACTACACACATAGGTTGACTATCATTCAACATTCATTCTGATGTATGGTAGTTTATGGAGGAAGGTAGGAAAATAGTAATGAAACACTCGATAATAACACACCTCTCAGCAGGGTCTAGCCATGAATTTGCTAAATTGATGCACATGTCAATCAAGTTCTATTCACTGTCTTCATAAAAACATGTTATACATAATGCTACTGATATCATTGTTACCATTATTTGGAGTACTATTGTGTAGTAACACTGGTATTCTCTTATTGAAAAATTACATTTTCACTTCCTGGCTGCCAGAATGTTAATGAACATTCTCTGGTGTGGTATTGGGAACATGAAGATCTTTTGGCTGAATATAAATTATTTATATAAGAATATAAATGCTGGCCTGATGGCTTTTCATTTGAACCTGCTGTGATTGATGCATACATGTATAATACACACAGTTCTTCACACTGTAGCATAACTTTACATCATGCCTAGTAAGAGTTAAATGTACTAATTACATTAATTTCTTTTTAGAGAAGACCTAGTATTTTTTGCCTATTAGTGAGAGATGATGTTAAATGGTAATACTGTGTTACTGTTGTCTTACCATGTGCTAGTCATGCATTACATGTGAAAATGTTGATAGTCATACTCAACCCACCTGAAAAGAAGGTAGATTCCCTAGTAGATTGTTCCTAGTCAGGGCTCTTTTAGATTTAGATTTGTATTCTCATTCATGTGGTTTTCTTCTCTGATTTCTTACTCTTGAATCATTGAACAGATGTCTTTTTTCTCCTTTGTATATTAATTGTAAAAAGTCTTTATTTGTAAGACCAGCTGCAGTTTTATATGCAGGTAATATTAAAGATGCTAAGTTACACTGTTTGAAATATAGAAGGGGCAGAGCTAGATAAAACTATGCACATGACTTTGTTGTGTGAGAAATATCCTCGTAGATTTCAGATTCTCTTCAATAATAGTGAAGATCATTTTTAGTAAATAAACGTCTTTTACAGCAAGCACCAAAATAATTATTAGAGTAGCATAATAAACACTTCCCATGTGGAAGGAAATGTTTCGTACAAAAATGTAACTGGTATATAACTGTCTGATAAAGGTTAAAATATCCATTGAATGTTGTATATTAGTTACTTCAGTAAGAAAATGTATGCCTAGATAACTAATAATAGTAAATTTATATCCATCAACAGACTGCAGTGGTGAGGATGGAGGCTGGAGTGCCAAGCCAGTGCCTCTGCGACCATTGCCAGTACCAACTTTGTACAATGGCACAACACCAGAAACAAAGGGTCTGCAACCAAAGTTCTCCCCACTAGAACTTCTTGTATATAATATAGCTGCTATACTGGCAAGTGTGGCAGCAGGATATGATGTCAGACTCTCCAACGTCACTGCTATTCATCCTAAACTACTACCTGTCAAGTGCGTTACTTTCAGTCTAAAAAACTTATTTCACATTCTCTCAAGTATTTAGTATAAATTCTCCACTCACTCCAATCTAACATGCCCACACAACCTACTGGATACTCAAGTCTCTAGCACTCAAAATTTTCTTTAACCCCCTCCCCCCAACCTTTTCTTTACTACCTCCAGTCTGATATTTAATCTGTTATTAACTAAACTGTTTGTTACTCCCAGCACTTTCCTCTTTTCTGTATTCACCTTCAATTTCCTTTTATTACAAACTTTCCCAAATTCATCCACTGATCTTTACAACTTCTCTTAAGAATCCTTCGAAAAGAACTGTCATCAGCTAAGAGCAACTATGACAGTTCCCAATTTGTATCAGATTCATTATCTTGTAATCCAGCATCTCTCCCCAACACCTTATCAGTCACTTATTTTAAAACCCCATCTAGATATATATTTTAAATAATATATTTACAAAATACTCTAAAGTCATATGGATTAATCAGTTTGTGGAACCGTGCGAGCATGACCTATCTTTCATGTTTACTCTGAGGTGTTATCCTCTTCAAGGGGGGCTCCTTGGCGTGGTGAAGAGGCTCTTGGTCTGAGGAATTAGCCCTGTCGGTCTTCTTCCTCAGACCGAACCTAATTACCCCCCATTCCTCCCCCTCCCCCTAACCATCCTCCCCATCCTCCCCTTTTTCCAATTCCTCCTCCTCCTCCTCACCCCTCCCTTTTGCCCTTCCTCTTTTTAGCCTTCGTGATTTCTCCCACAGGCGCGCTAGTTCCTAGGTAGGGGAAAGGACAACCGGGGTCCATCGTGGGAATGTCATTCCGTTAGGTTCCTTGGCGGTGGCTAGTTTGCCGTGAATCTGGATTGCCTAGGATGGTCCCGATCCCTCTCCGGTATCCGTAGTTAGCTTTGGGTGTCTTTTTTGGGCGACGGGTGTATCTCTGAAGCCGCCTTGCGGATTCCGGGGGTGGTGCTGAAGGAGGTATGCTTTGTGGCGGATATCGGGCGGGCCGCCCCCCTCTGCTTTTTTCCACCGAGGTAGCTCGGCAGATTGTGAGGTTGCTATCCCAGATTGCTGTTTACTGGCATGAAGGGTAGGGTATGGCACGGGTTTCCATTGCTGCATCCTGCGCCTACTCTAGCGGTGTCGAGTCCTCTTGGTGGCGGAGGGAGATATCTGGCCCTTTCATTCCTCCTAGTGAACTATCCCTCCCCGGTCCCCCCTTTTTTTTTTTCTTTTTTTATTTTTATTTTCTTTCTTCTTTCTTTTTTTTCTTAAAAAACAAAAAAGAAAGAATAACCTAACCATGGCAAGCCCAGTCCATGAACCTGGTACCCCCGGCCCCTTCTTGATACCGCACCCCGTTCTGACCCCGCCTCGTCTGGACCACTCTTCAGACCATTCCCCATGCCTCTGTATACCTAATTGCCGTATTCGAGAGTTCGTGAGTTTTCCTCACCCGCTTCCGGTAACTGAAGGCCTCGAATGACTCCTTCGATTTATGAGACCTTCGCTCTCTCTGACTATGCTTCCGGCCTCCTCCCTCTACGGTGCGGCAATTTTTTCCAAATCGCCAACCGTTCCAAGTCGGACCAACTCTGTCCCACGCCTAAAACCGCAACGACAATTACCTGCTGAGATACTTCTCCAGCCTTCACCTCTCGTTCTTCTTCAGAAACGATCGACACGTCCATCACTAACACCTTTCCCCTCATTTCAGACTGAAACATGGACTAAATTCCTTCACTTTACGACCAACTTCCTCTAACTGCGCTATCTTTCTGACCATAGTATTGGCAAGGCACTCCTACGCCATGTGGTAAAGATATTTCTTTTCATGCTCTGTTAAAGAGCGTACGCGCATCATTACCGTACAGAATGCTACCCAGGCTCGTGAGCTCTCTCGTCTTTCCCATAAAGATACTGTTCCTGACACCCTTGAAAAAACATCATTCCCTCAATTCTTGTAGTGGTACCGTTATTCCTGCCCATACCATAGTTCAACAAAACTTCCAGACATGTGGGCACCGACATTCCTAGAACAGCTGGAACTCCAAGATCTCCCCAATCCTCAAGGTAGACACTTACGTTCTTCCTGCCCGTGGGCGGAGACGATTACCCTAGCAATGTGGCTCGTTTACTTTTGACAGGCCGAAGAACTCCCCATCCTCTGTTTATATAGGCAGACGTCGGTTACAAGTTCGAAAGGTGATCCCAACACCACAAAGTGTAGAAATTGCGGCGATTTGGCATCCAGCGAAATATTGCAGATCTATCAGCAGAATGCCCGCAGTCTGTGGTGCCCGATGAACATCTAATACTCTTGCAATCGTCTCGCCTCTTGCCTTAACTGTCCATGAGGCTGCACCATCGTACTCTCGCCGTTTGCCAGGTCTATTTAAAACGAGCGGGAAATCCGTTACCCTCAAAGAGACAGAAGGTCTCCCTTATGCCCATGGCAAAGTTTCTCATCTCCGCCTCCAATGGAGGACTCCATCGTGTTTCTTATTTCCCGTGTTTCAAACGTCCCCCGACTTCTGGTATCCCATCTTCTAACACCCACCTCTTGGTTTACCTCATCCCAGAATCACTCCAGTATCTAATCCTTTTGCTTCCTCGCTCAGACGTCTTCCTACTTCAACGCCTCAGCCTAATCTCGCTTCTCTTCGAGTTTCTCTCTTACAAGCCCAGTATCGACGAGACCTCGTAGACACCTCTCCAATCGTCCCTCTACGAGATTTTGGGAATTTTAAAAGTTTGTTTCCGGTAACACCTCTACCCATCTCCCACCTCCTCATTTATTACCCTCCCTGTCCTCTGTCCCTATTCTCCCCTCTCACTGGCTCGTTACAAGGCAGAGGTTCACCCTCCTCCTCGTCAATGTACCTTCCTTCCCCTGTTCCCTCCCAAGTTTTCTTCCTCTTCTGCCACCTCCCAGGTTCCTGTCTCTTCTGTGCCTCCCCTGCCCACGCTTCTCCAGTTCCCTCCACCCTTTCGCCCCCCCCCTACCTGGTACAGACCAATACAGTCCAATCTTTACTCATCCTCTCCCCTACCATTCCCAATATTGTCTCCCCTACGACATCTCTGAATTCCGAAACACTTGAAGCAAACATCTGAATATATTGCAGAGACCAACCATACAATGGACACTGATCCACCTTCCGCTCTTTCTCTCTCCTCTGCTCCATCTGAGTTCGCAACTCCTTTCTTCACAGCGCACCGTTCCTTCGCTGCTTGAACATTGCCCCAGTTCTGCTCCGCATGTGGACTTTTCTAACCCTTCTAGTCCCGTAGAACCCTTACACTGCGGATTTCAAGTACTTTATCATTGCCAATCATGCCTTTTACAGTGGATATACGCGGCCCTCAGGGTAATCGGGGTGAGCTTCAGATGTTACTCCCCCAGTTTGCCCTGTTGGTGTTTGCTTACAGGAACCAAAATTACACTCTGCTGTTATTCTCACATCTCAGGCTATAAATTATTGTATTCTTCAGATCTTTCCTGATGGGGACGCCTTTAATGAAAGTGCCCTTCTTCCTCTCTCCCCGCATGTATCCGTACCATCAGCTATTTATTCATACTTCGCTGCATTAACACAGCAGCCCGTATCCACTTACATAGGGGTATACGCTCTGTTCTTTATATCTCTCTCCTTCCTCGGGCATTATCCTATTCCGGATTTTGCCTTCCCTTGTTTACGTCATTCACCGCCACCGATTCTGTTACTTTGGTGATTTTAATGCCCACCATTTCCTCTGGAGTCTCACGTGATTCCCGTGGAATTCAGTTAGAGGCTTTCCTTGCCACCCACCCCCTCCATGTTTTAAATACAGGTACTCACACCCATTTTGATCCTCGACTCATACTCTCTCTTGCATCGATCCTCTCAGTGTGTCTCCCTTCCTTCCGCCGCATTAGACTTTACTTGGTCCTGTTTCTCCCGGACTTACATGACAGTGGATCATTTCCCCAATCATTCCTTACTTCCCCTTCATATTCGCCACCTCTTCGCACCCCACTCTGGCAAATTTAAATCGGGCAAATTGGAACCTTTACTCACACACTGACTGTTTTTTTAAAGAGTTCCCTTCTTCGTCCTCGCATCGATGAGCTTTTACAACCTCTTCTCGTCCTCCGTTTTTCACCGCAGCTTCTCATTCTATAACCCCAAACTTCGGGCAAGGCATTCCCTCAAAATGCGTGCCTTGGTGGTCTCCTGCTGTGCTCGTGCGTACGTTTGAAACGCGCTGCATGGGGCAGGTACCCGGTACAATAGAACCACAGAGCGACCCTTGATTTTTAAACAAACGTGCTGATCGCTCGCCGTGTTCATCCGTGACGCTAAAACGCACTTGCTGCGAGATTATGTCTCCACCATCACCACTGCTTCCTCTATGAGTGCAGGCTGGAAAAAAGTACGAAAACAGAGTGGAAATATTCTCCTGACCGCGGCCCTATTATTCCTGTTCTGGCGGGTTGCCGGTGTTGATATAGCAAACCCACTAGATGTGTGGCCATGAATGGGGCTGCTGCGGTCCGTATTTCTCAGGGACTCCATCTATGCCCCCTCATTTCTTTCCTCAAATCTGCCAGAGAGTTAGCACCCTTGGACTTTTCTCTCTCAGCAGAATCAACAGTATAATGTCCTTTTACACTTCAAGAACAGGGGCAACACTCTCAGCTTGTCGATCATCGGCAGCTGGCCCGACGACATTCATATTCGTATGCTAACAACATTTACATCAGTCCAGCCCTTGCGTCCTATACGCCTTTACAATCTATTTTGGTCACAAGAGTTCCTCCACAAGCTGTTGGAAATCCGCCATTGTTCTCCCTTTTCCGCAAACCAGGCACTACGGGACAGTGAAACTCCCACTATCGTCCCCAATGCTCTTACCAGTGCAGTTTGCAAAGTAAGGAACGTCTAGTAAATAGACGTTTTAGTGTGGTATTTAAGACACACAACAGTCTCGCCACTCGGCAATATGGCTTTCCGTAAGACGTTCTACCATAAACCCCTTACTGCGCTTGGATACGTATGTTCCGTAATGCCTTTGCGAATAACCACTCAGTTATTGCCATATTTTTTGACCTTGAGAAGGCATATGACACAACTTGGAGGTATAATTTTTAGCCCACGCCCAACTCTTAGGCCTTCGAGGCAATCTACCATCCTTCCTTAAGAACTTTTTAAACTGACAGGCATTTCCGTGTTCGGGTTAATTAATGTGCCTCTCTCACTCCCGGACTTTGTCCAAGCTGAAGGTGTCCCCCAGGGATTTGTTCTGAGCACAACACTTTTTCTCCTTGCTATTAATGATTTGGGGCCTCCTAGTCTTCCATCAAATATTTGGTCATCACTCTATGTTGATGACTTCGCTATTGCCTGTGCAAAGGCGCTGACTGTCACCTCGCTTACAGTTTCCTCTCCAGCATGCAGTCGACCGTGTTTCCAATTGGCCACCACACATGGGTTAAATTTTTCCAGCACTAAAACCCACCAAATCACACTTCACACTAGGGTGCTCTGTCATCTCTGATCATCCCTTTGTACCTCTATGGCTCACGTATCCCCTGAACTGATACAGTCAAGTTTCTGGCCCCTCTTTGATCGTAGGTTATCCTGGAAACCTCACATTACCTCTCTGAAGGCAACTTGTCTCACAGCCGCTGAACCTTCTTAAAACCCTTGCTCATCTTCGTGGGGATCTGATCGTCGAACCCCTCCTTCACCTACATTCCACCCTTATTTTTATTCGAAACTTGATTTATGGTGAACAGATCTATTCCAGCGGCATCTCCCTGATACTCTCTCAGCCTTAACCCCATTCATCACCAGGAATCGTTATGCCCTTTTGTGCTTTTCGCTCTTCCCTGTCGAAAGCCTCTATGCAGAAGCGAACGTTCCATCCTTATCCGATCAGCCGTGATGCCCATGCCTGCGCTACTATGTTCGCTCTCATGATCTCCACAATCCTTCCATTTATAGAATGGTCACTGATATTAGTAGACATTCCTTTATTGTTCGCCCCCCTGCTTACTCGTCCTTCTCTCTCGCTTTATCCTTCATGTCGCTCTTGTCCTTCTCTTCAACTACCACCTTCTATTACATGAAGCATCTCACTTTTTTTTCCCTACCCCCCTCTGGAAGTTCCAGCTGTTCGAGTCTGTTCTTTCTCCCTCCCTTGCTCGAAAGCCAACTGTCAACGGTCGCTTCCCAGCTCTCTTTGCTTGACCACATTCACTCTCATTCTCATGCCATTGCTGTGTACACAGATGGCCTAAGTCTTCGTGACGGCGTAGGATTCGCAGCAGTGTTTTCCGACAGCGTCGTACAAGGGCAATTTTACTATCTTCAGCTAGTAGTTTTACTGCTGATTATATGCCATCCTTACAGCACTTATCCGTATTGCATCTATGCCTGTATCATCATTTGTGTTGTCTCAACTCCCTTAGAGCTTTACAGGCTATACAAAAATTTGATACACCTCACCCCTTAGTCCTCCGTATCCAACTTTTGGCTACGCCGCATCTTTACTAAGCATAAAGATATTGTTTTTTTTTGTTGGTCCCTGGTCATGTTGACGTACAGGCAATGAACAGGCAGAACGGCTGCGCGTCAGCAGTCATGACCTACCAGTTTCTTATTGAGGTAATCCATGTAACGACAATTTTGCTGTAATATCTTCCCACCTTCACACGCCGTTGCAACAACGTTGTTCTACTATGACTCGGCAACAAACTTCAGTCTATAAACCGAGTTAGGTTACTGCCGTGCTTCTTATCACCCAGTGTCGAGGTGGGAGACTACTCTCTCCCTCTTTCGCATTGGCCATACTCGTCTACTCATGGATCTCTCATGGAAGGCGTCATTGCTCCTCTCTGTGAGAATTTGCCAAGCTTCCATTATCAATCAGCACATTCTGTTGGACTGCCCACTTTATCAACGAGCACGCAGAATTTACCTGTCGTCGTCGTCTTCGCCCCGCTCTCTCTCTTTACCTTCCCTTCTCGCTGATGACCCACCTTCATCCGGACTCTCTCATTGACTTTTTGACAACGACTGACTTCACAAATTCTGATACTTTCAGCCCTTTCTACTTGTACCTCTTGCTACCCTCTACCCCCCGTACTATCCGACCTGCCCCGCTGTTTTCTGTAACCTGCTGATCATACCCCCTCCTTCTGCCATCCAATTCCCTTGCTTCCTTCCCTACCCTGCAGCGCTGTATAGCCCTTGTGGCTTAGCGCTTCTTTTTGATTATAATAATAATAATAATCTGAGGTGTTATACATTGTGTCTACAGACCTGAAGATGAAGATGCTGAGTACCAGAGATGGCTGGGCGTTAGTGAATATGAGTTTTCAACTCCATCTGGCTATGCTCACAACACATATCATGGCCCCTCAAGACATTCGCGTCCTGCCTTAGTCTTAGAACCCAAACCTATACGATTCACGGATTCTCCACAACACTTTGCTGGCCCTACTGCCCTTTCCCAAACTCAGACCCCACGAAGAAAATCATCTTCAGCTAGTAATGATAGTGAGGTATGGTTTGAATTCATTTTGTATTATAAGAAGGCTCGTAAAACTGTCACACATTAAGGAGTAATACTTGCTCCTTTGTGTATGATAACTTGTCTATGATTACCAGTTTCTTTACTTTTATCGTAACTTCAGTTTTATAGTAGTTGTAGTGTATACGTATGTTATGTGCACCTATCCATCATGTACTTTTTTTTTTTTTAACATGTTGGCCATCTCTCACTGAGGCACGATGACCCAGAAAAGAAACACTTTAACTGTCATTCAACACAGTTTACACACAATCACTGTCTTTGCAGAGGCACTCAGATAAGACAATCTAAGTGTCACTCCAAACAGCCAATATCTCAAATCCCTCCATTAAAGTGTGCAGGCATTGTACTTCCCGCCTCCAGGACTCAAGTCCTGTTAGTCTTGTTAGTGTTTTAACACACTGTTTTCATATTTTGTCTGTTTTATGTACCTTTGTGTCTGTATGTACTTTTTTATACAAGGGCTTATCAGATTATCTTTTATTATTATCATCTCTTTTATGTACTTTTTTATATAAGGGCTTATCAGATTATCTCTTTTTCTTGTCTGTAACGAAGGTAGATATAGTGCTTTCAGTCTCTCTATTTAATATTTCTTAATTTTGAGGTCTCCCTGCATTATTAAGAAATGGCTGGGGGTTAAAAAAAATTACAATACCAAGTACAGATATTCAATTTTTTTAGCAGGTTGCGAGCTATGGTGGTAGTGGACAGCGGGCTGTCTACATTCCTGGACCAGCCGACTTCCTACGTCCAGACTACCGAAGTGAACAACAGATGGTGGTGTGGGGTGAACGTGGTGACCACACTTCAAAAGCACCAACTCACCAGCCTCCTCCATCCCCAAAACCTGATGCAGAAATGTATCGTGCAGAGACATACCAGCAGTATACACCTGATTATCGCCCTGACTCTCTTAATTATTATTATAGCGATCGAGGGTATCATGCACCCGCAGAGTACCTAGCCAGTGTTCATTATGAGCAACGAGTGTATCCACAATATGTAATGAGCCGTGCAGCAGCAGCGGCTGCAGCAGCAAGTGGTGATGGAGGGTACCATGCTTATGAGAACCCATCACCATCTGTTTCATCTTCTTCAACATCAACCAATCCCCGCACTCCATCTAGAGTCAATTTCCAACATCGACGCACTCCATCATCTGTTTCAAATGCTTCTACTTCATCCTCAAATATAAATCCTTCATTTAGATTAGAAGATGAAGGAGATAGCTCATACTCTACTCCAACTCATCGCAGTGGACATTTTGATTCTCATGGAGGACCAGCTCCACCTCCAAGAGTATCGCGTCAGAATTCACATGAATTGGATCGAGTTGACCGCCCAGGATCTTTAGATCTTCCTCGCCATCACCGCTCTTCCCTCAGGAAGTACAATGAACGCTATGGGCGGTCATCTCCTAAACCTCGCAGTGATCGCAGTGGATCTGGAGGCTCAGGAGGGGGCACTCCCACTAATCCTACCCCACCAGATAGTATGACTAGTGAAGACAGCAGCTATGTCAGTGCTCCAGACATGTACTCTACCCTTTCTGGTGGGTCTGGGGGCAACTCAACTGGGGGTGGGCGAGTGAGGTTCTCTCCTGCCTCCCACTTCATAAGTCAGGAGGGAGTGGTAGGTCGGCATACACTGCTGGATATGCCAGTGGAGGGGGAAAGTCAGGACACGACTGTTCCTCTGACAGCATTAAGGCATGCCATTCGGCATCATGAGCAGCAAGCAGCTCTGATGTCACAACCTGACTCATGGACAGCTTTTGATGATGGCAATGATGAGAGGTTGTAGCAGCTCTCCACATGAGCCAGCATGCTCTCAGGGGGGCATAAGCCCAGTTTACATTCCAGGCACACACGAGGGTAATTCATTAGTTTCCTCCATTTTCTTGAAGGTTAATTCTGCAATATTTTAAAATTTATCCACTTTAAAAATAGGAAATTTATTAAATTTCTCTGCTGTCATTTTTTAATTTGCTGTTTATGAAAGCTCATTATATTGTAACTGCTTCTATCTAAAACACAAAGATAGTGGAAATTAAAAGCCATTTGTTGAAGTGAGCAACAATATGGGGTATATCATATAATCACTGTGCTCAAGCTTTCAGTTTTATGCGGTTTGATGAGAGCAGTGTACATAGTAGTGCCATCTAGTTATTTCTACTTGGTGAGGAGTGATATAATTCCCATCAAGCCACAATTTCTGTGATCCTTGGGCAGCCTTTGTGTAATTTTTCACCTTTTGGAACGACTTCATATTGTAAGAGAAAGTACGATGACTAGAGAAGACTCATATAAAGAGATAGAAAAAGAGTCGGGAATTTGGTTGTGGATTGTCAGGTGAAAGTGTTAGCCAGAGGCCTTTTTGTTAAGAATTATTATTAGTAGTCATCTACTCCAGTTCCTTTTATCATTCACAATAAGGTGGCATTTGCAGAATACTGTTAAAACTGATTGTTCATTATTTTCTGTTTTAACAGCTGCTTTTTGCTTCAAATTTAAGACCTAAATGTGAAATCACAATATTGCTCTTACACTGAAACAATGCAGATATTTTTTAAATAAAGTGGCTATTGTTGAAGATTCAAGCATGTGTGCAATATCACTAGTAATGGGTGTCTTCAGTCAACATAGTAATGAGTGTCTTCAGTCAACATGAGCACATTACTACAGGTAGGGTCTCATAGAATGTAAAGGTTTTGTCATAAGATGAAATATAAAGTATTTTCTTCATATTATTTATTTTGCTGCTGTAATTCTGGAAGAAAGATAGCTATTAATTGGATTATATTTTTAATTAACTTTGAATTTTTATTTCTGACATTTTTTATTGAACTATACTCCTAGCAAGTGTGCCATATTATATGTCCATGTTATTTTGGGAAGTGTCATATTTACCACAAAGGTTTATTTTCATAGTGCTTTTATTTATGTTTTCTTAAAATTTCTTTTATGATAACCTTGTTAGGTGTCATATTTGTGTTTTTATTCAGGCACTATTTTAAATGTTACCCGATGTGATAAATTAAAGAGAAGCAAAAACTGACAATTTTAAAGTGTCTTAGGTATCGGCATCAGTATGTAGCTTTAAGAATAAAAGGCCCTCTAAGCAGTGTGGGCCTCACAGGTTGTCACAATCTATTGGTCAAGTCTTGTGATGTGTCTTATCGCTTGTTTCTCGTCAATATTTTTCACACGTGGACTAAATTTTGTACAGGTTAATCCCTTTAAAACTGAAAATACTATAGTACTGTTCTATTTGATAGACTAGCAATAATACTTTTGGCAGGTACATAAATAATTTGATCCTGGGCTATAGGGCATTAGTACACCATTTAAAATTTCTGTGATTATATAGTCATGAATTTCAATTTATTTATATTTTTCTTAAGAAAATGTCTTTCCAAGTATTTCTCTCTAGGAATAAAAATTACTGCTTAACACTTTATGATCTTGGCATGCATCATGAAAAAATGAATGAATATGATGACACAAGAGATTCATCATACTGGAACATACACTGGAACATAATCAGTAAAATCCTGTATGTACGAGGCATTGCCATTAGTAAGGGCAGACTCATTATCATCTGTTAAAAAATGACTAGAGCCTAATTTTTTTGAAAAGCAGAATTGAAATTAGATTTTTATTTGCCTAGTATTTTCAGGCATTGTTTAGCAAAGTTTCATCCTGTAGGATGGTTCCCTGATGTAAACCTCTTCAAGGGGGGCTCCTTGGCGTGGTGAAGAGGCTCTTGTCTGAGGAATTAGACCTGTCGGTCTTCTTCCTCAGACCGAACCTAATTACCCCCCAATCTCCCCTCCCCTATCCCATCCTCCCCCTTTTCCTTTCCTCTTCCTCCTCCCCACCCCTCCCTTTTGCCCTTCCTCTTTTCGGCCTTTGGGATTTCTCCCACAGGCGCGCTAGTTCCTAGGTAGGGGAAAGGATACCGGGGTCCATCCCATTCCGTTGAGGTTCTTGGCGGTGGCGTAGTTTGCCGTGGAATCTGGATCACCTGGGGATGTCCTGATCCCTCTCCGGTATCCCGGAGTAGCTTTGGGTGTCTTTCGGGCGACGGGTGTATCTCTGGAAGCCACCTTCCTGCCCGCAGGCGGAGACGATACCCTAGCAATGTGGCTCGTTTAACTTTTGACAGCCAAGAACTCCCATCCTCAGTTTATATAGTTGGACATCGGTTACAAGTCCGAAAGGTGATCCCTACACCGCAACAGTGTAGAAATTGCTGGCGATTTGGCCATCCAGCGAAATATTGCAGATCTATCGCCGAATGCCCAGTCTGTGGTGCCGATGACCATTCTCATACGTCTTGCAATCGATCTCCCTCTTGCCTTGTCATGAGGCTCACCCTTCGTACTCTCGCCGTTGTCAAGTCTATTTAAACGAGCAGGAAATCCGTTACCTCAAAGAGACAGAAGGTCTCCCTTATGCCATGGCAGTTTCTCATCTCCGCCTCCAAGGGAGACTCCCATGTGTTTCTTATTCCCGTGTTTCAAAACGTCCCCCCACTTCTGGTATCCCATCTTCTACACCCACCTCTGTGGTTACCTCTCCCATAGTCACTCCTGTATCTAATCCTTTTGCTGTCCTCAGCTCAGACGTCCCTACTTCAACGCCTCAGTCTGATCTCGCTTCTTCGTGTTCTCTCTCACAAGCCTCAGTAACGACGAGATCTCGTATGACACCTCCTCCCAATCGTCCCTCTACTTCTCAGAAGTCAAAAAAAGGTCCGTTAACACGTCCTACCCATCTTCCACCTCCTCATTTACCCTCCCTGTCTCTGTCCCTGGTCTCCCCCCTCACGGGCTCTGTTACAAGTGTAGAGGTTCACCCTCCTCCTCGTACTGTACCTTCCTCCCCTGTTCCCTCCCAGGTTTCTTCCTCTTCTGCCACCTCCCAGGTTTCTGCCTCTTCTGTCCCCTTCCACGCTTCTTTCCCGTTCCCTCCACCCTTTCGCCCCCCCCCCTACCTTGGTACAGTCCAATACAGTTCCAATCTTTACTCATCCTTCCCCTACCATTTCCAATATTGTCTCCCATACGACGTCTCTGAATTCCGAAACACTTGAAGCAATCTCTGAATATATTGCAGAGACCAAACCATCAATGGACACTGATCCACCCTCTGTTCCTTCTCTCTCCTCTCCTCCATCTGCGCAACTCCTTTCTTCACAGCGCACCGTTCCTTCGCTGCTTGAACGTTTTACACTGCCTCCGCATGTGGACTTTTCTAACCCCTCTAGTCCGTAGGAACCCTTACCTGCGGATTTCAAGTATCTTTATCATTGCCAATCATGGCCTATTTACAGTGGAATATACGCGGCCTCAGGGGTAATCGGAGTGAGCTTCAGATGTTACTCTCTCAGTTCTCCCCTGTTGGTGTTTGCTTACAGGAACCAAAATTACACTCTGCTGTTATCTCTCCCATCTCAGGCTATAATTTATTGTATTCTTCAGATCCTTTTCCTGATGGGACCTTTAATGAAAGTGCCCTTCTTCTACGCACTGATATTCCGTACCATCAGCTATTTGTTCATACTTCGCTGCATTACACAGCAGCCCGTATCCACTTGCATAGGTGGTATACGCTCTGTTCTTTATATTTCTCTCCTTCTCGGGCATTATCTATTCCGGATATTGCCTTTCTTGTTTCGTCATTACCGCCACCGATTCTTTTTACTTGGTGATTTTAATGCCCACCATTTCCTCTGGGGGGTCTCACTGTGATTCCCGTGGAATTCAGTTAGAGGCTTTTCTTGCCACCCACCCCCTCCATGTTTTAAAATACAGGTACGCACACCCATTTTGATCCTCGGACTCATACTCTCTCTTGCATCGATCTCTCAGTCTGCTCTTCCTCCACCGCATTAGACTTCACTTGGTCTGTTCTCCCGGACTTAAATGACAGCGATCATTTCCCAATCATTCTTACTTCCCCTTCATATTCACCACCTCTTCGCATCCCACGCTGGCAATTTGATCGGGCAAATTGGAACCTTTACTCACACCTAACTGTTTTTAGAGAGGTTCCTTCTTTGTCCTCCATCGATGAGCTTTTACACCTCTTCTCCTCCTCCGTTTTAACCGCAGCTTCTCATTCTATACCCCAAACTTTGGGCAGGCATTCTCAGAAATGCGTGCCTTGGTGGTCTCCTGCTTGAGCTCGTGCAGTACGTTTGAAACGCGCTGCATGGGGCAGGTACCGGTACAATAGAACCACAGAGAGACTCCTTGATTTTAAACAGAAGCGTGCGATCGCTCGCCGTGTCATCTGCGACGCTAAACGCACTTGCTGGCGAGATTATGTCTCCACCATCACCTCTGCTTCCTCTATGAGTGCAGTCTGGAAAAAAGTACGAAAACTGAGTGGTAAATATTCTCCTGACCCGGCTCCTGTTCCGCGGGTTGCCAGTGTTGATATAGCAAACCCACTAGATGTTGCCAATGAAATTGGCAATCATCTGGTCCGTATTTCTCAGGAACTCCATCTATACCCCTCATTTCTTTCCTCAAAGTCTGCCAGAGAGTTAGCACCCTTGGACTTTTCTTCTCTCAAGAAAAAACAGAAATAATGTGCCTTTTACACTTCAAGAACTGGAGGCAACACTCTCAGCTTGCCGATCATCGGCAGCTGGGCCCGATGACATTCATATTCGTATGCTACAACATTTACATCAGTCAGCCCTTGCAGTCCTATTACGCCTTTACAATCTTATTTGGTCACAAGGAGTTCTTCCACAGCTGTGGAAATCCGCCATTGTTCTCCCTTTCCACAAACCAGGCACTACGGGACATGAAACCTCCCAACTATCGTCCCATTGCTCTTACCAGTGCAGTTTGCAAAGTAATGGAACGCCTAGTAAATAGACGTTTAGTGTGGTATTTAGAGACACATGACAGTCTCTCCACTCGTCAATATGGCTTTCGTAAGGGCCGTTCTACCATAGACCCCTTACTATGCTTGGATACGTATGTTCGTAATGCCTTTGCGAATAACCACTCAGTTATTGCCATATTTTTTGACCTTGAGAAGGCATATGACACAACTTGGAGGTATAATATTTTAGCCCAAGCCCACTCCTTAGCCTTCGAGGCAATCTACCATCCTTCCTTAAGAACTTTTTAACTGACAGGCATTTCCGTGTTCGGGTTAATAATGTGCTCTCCCCGGACTTTATCCAAGCTGAAGGTGTCCCCCAGGGATGTGTTCTGAGCACAACACTTTTTCTCCTTGCTATTAATGATTTTGGCCTCTAGTCTTCCATCAAATATTTGGTCATCACTCTATGTTGATGACTTCGCTATTGCCTGTGCAGGCGCTGACTGTCACCTCATTACAGTTTCTCTCCAACATGCAGTCGATCGTGTTTCCAATTGGGCCACCACACGTGGGTTTAAATTTTCCAGCACTAAAACCCACCAAATTACTTTCACTAGACGCTCTGTCATCTCCGATCATCCCTTTTTACCTCTATGGCTCCCGTATCCCTGAACGTGATACAGTCAAGTTTCTGGGCCTCCTCTTTGATCGTAGGTTATCCTGGAAACCACACATTACCTCTCTGAAGGCAACTTGTCACAGCCGGCTGAACCTTCTTAAAACCCTTGTTCATCTTTCATGGGGAGCTGATCGTCGAACCCTCCTCCACCTACATTCCACCCTTATTTTATCAAAACTTGATTATGGTGACCAGATCTATTCAGCGGCATCTCCTGCTACTCTCTCTAGCCTTAACCCCATTCATCACCAAGGATTACGTTTATGCCTTGGTGCTTTTCGCTCTT